ACGTAATGGCACCAAGTTATCGAAAAGAGCAGTGCTAAACGACAAGGCCGAAATGGACCTGACGCCAGCCACGGGCAAGAGAAACAGGAAAAGTCCCTGTTTCCACATTCGCGGCCGAGTGCTGCCCACAGTCCATAGTACGTGCAAGGATGACGCGAACTTTGTTGTTTTTCGGGCCCGATACAGCCCGACCACCACACATCTGTGAAGCAGTGTGAGCAGGCATGAGCGTCGGGATTGCAGGCTTCCCACAAAACTCGAGGATCGTGGCAGACTTGCGCCAAAAAGTTGTGCAAAAAAAAAAAACGTGGATTTTCTTTTTCGAAGAGGGATTGCGAACCTGATTTTGAAGTTAGAATTAACAGAGAATTAGTATAACAAGCTAGCAAGGTGATTGCGCCTAGCGCACGCGCGGAACACAGGCACTAGCAAGCGCCACGTCACGGGTTGACGTGGGCGGCGGGCTGACCCTCGCAGAGAGGGTTCCACGCTGGACTTCGCGACCACCGAGCCCCGATTGTGAGGGCGACAGGACGGTCGTTCACGGAGCGAGGTCGAACTGGAGTACGCCATAGCTGTATCCGAAGTGTGCGGACGAGCCCTTGATGGTGATGAACGACGGCATCACAAGAGATCGCGGATAGAAATTCGAAAACGGAGATATTACGCAGGTGGGCGACATCGGAGGTAAGGACCGACACCGAGCGAGGAGGAAGGGAGACGACAGGTTCACCGTGAGCGAGGTCAAAGTTGGATCCGCCATCGCCGAGCCCGAAACTGCTATGCCCGGCAGGTGTCGACGAGCCTTCGAAATCAATGAATAACGAGGCGCTGGTGACCGCGAATAAGGCCGACCGACATCACGCTGGCGAATAAACATCCGGGTTTGAACCGTTGTTGAGTGAGGAAGGAAGGGGACGGGCGTGCCAAGAAGGTCAAAGTCCGCGGCAGGATTTACTAGAGAACCCAAAGGAGTGAAGGGAGACGAGGGGCATAGCCCAAAAGACCCGCGACGTCGAGGGGGTAAGAGGGAAGAGTCAGGGACAGCGGATCGGAGACGATTGTGTTTGGGGAGAGGGAGGGAGAGGGGGCGGGAAGGGAGAAAAGAAAGAAGAGTGCAAAAGGAGGTCAAAAGGGAGGCGGCGAGAAAGGGGAGAGAAACGGTGAGACACCATACTTACGATACACAAGGACGATAGGAAGAACGACACACGAGTGGCAGAAGAGAGGATAAAAGGAGGCAAAAGGGGGAGAAAATAGTTGGGACGACAGGGATAAGACGGTGGTCACCTGAGCTGCAGAGGGAGGAAGAGCAGGGCAGAATACGGAAACTGTGGACCTGACCCGACCAGCAAAACGAAAACGACAAGCCAAGGAGGAAGGTGAAAGTGGCTGACCAAGGCGAACAGGTATCATCGTTCTCCCCTGCCCCCCGGTCCGACTTACACACCCCCCCCCTCCCTCCTCCCCCCCGACCCTTCTCCCGCGACGGATGAGCCCCCCTTGCCAGCACCGGAAGAGACACAGCCACGATTAGTGGCCAATTGAACCAAGGAATTACAAACAAAAACCAAAAAACACAAAACAACAAACACAGAGCCAAAATCGGGATACAACTGCTCAGACAAAAGAAATCAGATACATCTATACGGATTGAGCAAGGAAGAGTATCCCCTTAGAGGCGATACAGGGACAAAACTAAGCACCCTAACAGCCACCGTGGCATAAAGGATCCCCTAAAAAATAATAATAATAATAATNTTAGAGGCGATACAGGGACAAAACTAAGCACCCTAACAGCCACCGTGGCATAAAGGATCCCCTAAAAAATAATAATAATAATAATACTAGGCTACCAGAGTGACCCAAGGTCACTTGCACGGGCTGGCCACCCGGGACCCGGGCCGCCCGGCTGGTAGCTTGGTAATAAAAAAAAAAAAAAAAAAAAACACCACAGACAGTCACCGTGGTGCAGAGGCTTACCAAAAAGAAGACCAAAAAAGACAGAGCGAAAAGCAGCAAAACAACACATAACCAACAAATAGCACAGACAGAACCGATCCACAACATCATCATGGACCTTCGTCACAGAGGTGGAAAGGGGATAGGCCCCCTGATTTTTTTCAAAGGGGCCATGAGACACCAATTTGGCCGCCATCTGGCAGCACGACCCTACGAAAAGTTACCCCCGACACCCGAAGGGGGGGGSCCCTCACCTGGCCAGTCACATCGCCCCCCCTCCTCCCCCGGCGTGAGTCGTCTGAACCCCGCCTCCTGGCCGACCCTCCAAGATGCCTACTCGACTGGAAAAACGACAGACAAGGCGGGGACATCCGACAGAGCACTCGGTGAGACAGAACAGCCCCGCCCTGTCAAAGACCAGGAGATGACTGACCAGAAGGTAGAAGAAAGGGAAGGGTCTGATGAGTCTGAGATGGAGGAAGGAAGCGTTAACGAGGAGGAGGAGGAGATGCTGACAGAGGAGGAAAGGAGTCAAGAAATAAAACAGCCAGAAGACTCAGCCACATCCAAAATCAGTGAGACAAAAGGGAAAGAAAAAGCCTCTTGGGCCCAGAGAGTCAGAAACACTATTCATGAAAAAACATTGGACATCAAGAGGCTACCCCCCGGAATCCAACAGGGGAATGAGGAAACTCTAAAGGTACCCCTCCGTAACTTGTCGTCGGCAAGGGCATACTTCCTCACCCTCTTCCTCCTTCCATCGGAGCAAAGGGTGGTGGACCAGGGGGGGAGGAAGACGGTGATGAGAGCTTACCCTGACGACAAAATTGCGACAAGAGACGACGTCTACATTAAACACACCAACAATTCGCTGTTTTATGGGGACGTTGCCCAAAGATCATCGAATGAGAAAATTAAGTGGATCTGCAGGCGCCTGGAAGAGATGAAAGGTAGCCTGGAAGCAGTCCACGAGTTCTTCCTCATCCARCCCCTGTCCTCCACAGTGTTTACTGTTCTGAGTCTCTTCACTCAAGACAAACAACGCATGGACGCATGGAGGAAGATCGGATGGGAAGGGTCGGACGTACGCATTCTACCGTGGCAACCCAAGAAAATGACCCAGGAGGAAAAACGCGAACAGCTAATGAAAGACTTCTACTGGGTAGAATTGAGACACATCCCAGTGGAAGTACAGGCGGCTTTCGTTTGTGACTTTGGGCAACAATACAATATTGTCGACTTCATCAATCCACTCCCGTCCTTCGTGGCGAAACGAGACGATTACCTGATGCTGGCACTGGATCTCCCCAAAGATCAGATCTTCTCGATCGACGATATTGTGCCCTATAGACTGGGCGAAAAGGTCTACCAGATCCACACCGCGCATAAGTTTAGGCCATGGTGCTTCAAATGTAGAGCGTATGGCCACTTGAGCACGGAATCCGCGTGCCCGCAACACCCTAACAAGAAAAGTCCAACAACAGGGCGCCTTCAAAGGGATCCACGCAGGCCGAATAGATGGTACGCCACAGACCATGGCCACGATGGGTGGGTATACCTGGAAGAGCTTGATGCAAGGGGATAGCCAAAAGGATGGACTTGGGAGGGCAGAGGGGACCCCTGCAGAGCTACTAGACCGCCAAACGAATGGATCCCGTTTTCTCCAAAAAGAACAGAAACARCGGAGAAACCCCAGCACACCCCCCTGCACACCCCAAAGCCCACGGACAAAAAAGCACCAGCGCCCCCTCCCCCTGAGAAAGAAATGACCACCAAACAGCAGCCYCGGCAACCACASGCAAAGCAGAAAYGRCAGAGCCTGGGCCCRGTGGCAATGGAATATGTCCCGACCGGGAAGTTGTGGACAGACAAAAAGGACGCACAGGAACACCAGGGGGAGTTCAGCCAATCCAAGACACTGCCTGCTCGGCCGGGAGAGGTAGAAAATGGCCAGCAGAAAAAAGACAGGCCCCACACGCAGGGTGACCCGTTAAAAGAGGCCTTCGGCCCGGACCCGATGGAGGTGGAGATCTTACCGGGAGCCCCCCCGCCCCCGTCRTCCCMYGATGTAACAATGGCAGATGCGCCGGACTGCCGCATGGAGAGTACACCCGGAATAGCGGATGCAGGCAAAAATAAAAAAAATACGACCCTGAAAGTAAGCCTGCAGGACGTGGCAGACTGGCTGATGGACAGTCTGCACATCAAATACGACAACGAAGACGAGGAATTTTGGGATAAAGCGTACAGGGACTTAATCCCGCTCTTGGAAAGCAGTGCCAGCCTGCACGAAGCCATGACACAAGGACTG